TACCCAGGTGGGTCTTGAACCCGTGGGCTCATGCAATCCACTCACCTCAGCCTCCCAAAGTGCTGGGATTACAGGCTGAGCCACTGAGCCCGGCTTGCCAAACATCTTACAAGGGGCAGGACAGCCTGCATGCCCATCTTCTCCCTCCTCAAGTAGTGTGTCGCTCAAAATGTAAATAGTGCCAGTGTTGAGAAACCCTGCATGTAGAGGCTTATGGAAGTCCTTTGTCTCCAAGCTAAAAACGTTAAAGCCTTTGCAGAGTTAGAAGTTTATTTTGATGAAGTGCATCTTACAGACTTTAATACAGGAAATACTTATTTCAGTAGGATTGATGCTTGTGGGTGGTGACTTCGTTTTGATCTACATCTGCAAGTCTATATATTTGAAGAGGAAAACCCTGCAAATATTGTGATCTCCTGTTTGTATAACAGTTCTCACGAGTATTCTATGAAATTTGCTGGGTGCGATGGCTTACAGCTGTAATTCCAGCACTTTGGGAGAATAAGGCAAGAGGATTACTTGAGGCCAGGACTTCAAGACCAGACTGGGCAACATAGTGAGACATCCTCTGCAAAAAAAAAAAAAAAAAAAAAATCAACCAGTCTCGGTGGCTCAGCCTGTAATCCCGCGCTTCGGGAGCCTGAGGTGAGTGAATTGCCTGAGCCTGCGGGTTTCAGACCCGCCCAGGCAACTTGGCAAGACCTCATCTCTACAATAAATCAAAAAATTAGCTGGGCGTTGTAGCGTGCGTCAGTAGTTCCAGCTACTTGGAAGGCTGAAGCGGAAGGATCGCTGGCGCCCAGCAGGTCGAGGCTGAGGTGGCTAGGAGCGGCAACTGCACTCCAGTCTGGGCATCAGAGTGAGACTCCAACTCTTAAAAAAAAATATATCAAAAAATTAGTCCGGTATAGTAGCACGCGCTGTAGTCCCAGCTACTTGGGAGGCTGAGATAGGATTACCTGAGCCCAGGAATTCCAGGTTGCAGTGAGCTATGATCGTGCCACTGACTCCAGCCTGAGCAACAAAATAAGATCCCTATTCAAAAGAATTATTTTTTTGAGTTAAGAGTCTCTTATCAACCAGGCTGGGGTGCAGTGGCACGCTCATGGCCGCTACAGCCTCGACTGCCAGGCTTAGGCGATCCTTCCACTTCAGCCTTCCCTGTAGCTGGAACTACAGATGCATGCCACCACGCCTAGTTAGTTTTTGTGATTTATTGTAGAGATGAGGTCTCACCAAGTTGCCCAGGCTGGTCTCAAACGCTTGGCTTCAGGCAATCCTCTCGCCTGGACTTCCCAAAATGGGATTACAGGCTGAGCCACAAGGGCCAGCCTATTTTTTTTTTTTTTTTT